AAAAAAAAAAAAAAGACAAATTCCATAGTAGTTTTTTTGTGAATAGTTTCTTTAAAATCAATCAAAACCAGATGCCACGATTATGCTATTCTAAGTGTTTCAAGACTGTCAGTCAGAAGTTAGTAAACTGAGCCTTTTTTCTCTCTTTTTTTTTTTTTTTGTGCCAGAATGACGTGTGGCAACCTTCAGAAGCCTAGAGACATTTGTCCGCCTCATTAAGCTGTTATTGAAATATAAAGTATTTTCCATTCAATTGTTTTAGCCTAGAGGTATATTCACACACAACACACAATGAGATACAGAGAGAGGGAGAAGGAAAGATATCCAACACTGTTTACATATCCTGTAATAAAAAAATTTGGTGAAGATGTGGTGAGTTTCATAAAATATTCAAATGTTCATCTGTGCGCTAATGTGAAACTTGTGTTCAGTTGAGACCTGACATTTTTTAAACATGTTTTTTTTTGTTTTTTTTCGGGTAGAACTGCCATTTCAAATCAAGAGCAAAGTCTTGCCAACTCACACAGAAATGACGCAAAGACACATAACATCAGAGAATCAAAATATCTCCTACCACTTAAAAGCGTGCAATTAAGCACACCGGGAAAATAAAAAAATCATGTTTGAATGTTTCACAAACCTCATTTGACTTGCATTTTGCAGTGCCATTCTTACACCTTTCAAAACACTTGTAACTTCATCTTTTTATAACAAGCTTGTACTTTGTTTTTGACTGCTTTCGTTCCAAAATTCAAGAATGAAGCTGTGGAACAACTTTTTTCCCCCCACGACCGAAGTTTGACCTTGGACCATTTAGAGTTTCACTCTCATTGCTCTGAGATCTTAATTGATACATTAAAAAAAAACATGGCACTTTAAATATCCTGCTTTAAAGAGATGTTCTACTGTCTAGTTCACTTATAAATGTTAGTCGCTAAACAGTAATTTGTGACCACGTTATTTCACAAAGTACACCTTTGAGAATTCTGTGCTATGATTGTCTATATTATTGCATGTGGTAAATACCAATATAGTTATAACTCATCATGATCTAATTTTAGTAAGTTAAGGTTGTCGTTATTTATGCTTGAATCCATATGATTACGGTCTTAGTGAAGCCAGTGCGTTCATAAAAACCCCAAAATGACCCCCAACCCCTTAATCATTTTTTTTTTCAGAGCAGTTTCACTGTAAACCAACAACAGTGATTTGAAACGTTCAGTAATACAATAATTATAATAATAATAAACAATAGGACAAATACAACAGAAAAAGAAATACGCATGAAATGAACAATTTAGCCTATTGCTTATAATCGCCTACAAAAATTGAATAAAGCATTTAAATGATGAAAAATTACACAAATTATTAAAGGTACTAATGTTATTCAGTGAAGTTGTTTGAATAACGTTAAACGACAGAGAGAGCAGCGGGTTTTTGGGATACTGTCACTTTAAGACCAGATGTACTGACCTAATACACTGACAAGCATTCGATTAGCTGTTTATGATCACTGAAGATATAACATTTAAGTTAAAAAGTCCCCAAGGTGGACATTGACATATATTTGTTTGTTTAAGCGCACACCCAAAGCCCAAAGTAGCCTGTACTTGTCCGTGTGTGTGTGTTTGTGTGATCGATTAATTCATAGTAAGGAGCATTTTGACTTCTTGACTTCAACAAAACCAGACTTTACCATGCAAATCACTATTTTAGGTTTTCTGACAAAAACCATTTACAACATATTTTTTCTGAACAAATGAAATACATTTTCAATGAACAACTGAAAAGTTATAATCCTGTTACAGTATTTCCTTTTTCCACACACTGGCAGAGACTGAAAACTACTGAAGCGAGTACACAAGGCTGAATAATTTGTGTGTACGTGCATAAATCAAACCTTCTCTCGGTCTCAAAATACATTTAATAACCAGCACCTCAATGAGAGCAGCTATCGCAATGCAGCTCTTTTCAAAGCCAACAATATCTCAAAATAAGAACTTGTAGAAGCTTTTTTTTGTCCATGTTTGCTTTGTAAATGTTTAAGGGTACTAGAGGCCATATTCAATATTTCCACAAAGACTTGGTTCCAGCTTTAGTGTAGGTTCAGGAAGACGCCAAAGAACCTTTCTCTACAGCTAAACACGAACCATTACCGTCTCTTAATACTTTACGGAATAAATACCATACAAACGTTCACCTGCCCTAACTTTGCTCACCATATGCTTATAGTGTTTTTCTATATACACTTACAGTACACTATACATACTATGCTCCTCCTTACAGCAACTACTAGTGTCTCTGTACTTTATACCTTCCCACGAAAGCTTAATGATCTGCTACGGAAGGCATTTGACTACATTCATTAAAGCACTCCTGAATAGAGTTGGAAATAATTGTCTTGAAATATGCAAATATCTTGAGGGAAAACCATAGGACGCACCTGGCCTGTTATGGCCTTGGTTATTATATTACCATCTATTAGACCTGATAACTCCCATGAGACACTCTTAGTCTTACACTTACACTGCACTGTGTTGTACTTACACACGGAGACTGTACACTTACTGTATATGGCAGAATGCACATCAAATTCATCAGGATATATAAAGGTATATAAAAATCATGCACCGTTTTCATTATCGAGTTCACTTCAGCTCTGGAAAGATGAATGTGTATTTAAAATGAGTCATTTATGTAGAAGAAATGTGAATTTATTTTTGAATTTGGAGCTTTCCAGACTGAGAAAAGCCAGAAAATGTGTTTTTGGCTTATGTGGATGAAAGACAACAACTCCCAGAATGCACTTGCTTCACTGCCCTAGGAGGCCACGCCTACCGCTAACAGAGCACAGTAGTTAAACAACAAGTGTAGGCTACTAGTGAGTCTCCGTGATGAGTCTGCCCGAAAATGTGCTTCGAGAACGCCCAAAATGTCCGGGATTCGGCTTTTGCGTTCTACAGTCGTCATTCATTAAGTTTACTGTGACGAGAGGGACGAGTGAGGGCCGCTGGAGAACGGCGTGAGGCCGGTGGCGTGATTACCGATGAGCGACACCTGTGAGACGCACCGGTCTCGTAACTATCACGGAGGAGCGGGAATTTTCTTAGAAATGTTAAAACACACTATGTGTGACACTATGTGTAGTTCAGATACAAAAGCCTCTAAGTGCCATTTGAAATTTTCTTGTAGGATGATCATTTTTATCAAGCTTGTATATTTAAGTTCAGTGATTTCACTTAAATGGCAATGGTAATTACCTATTAATTGTTATTTAAGTGAAATTACTGAACTTAAATATACAAGTTTGATAAAAATCATCATTAAAGAAGAAAATTTCAAATGGCATTTAGAGGCTTTTGCATCTGAACTCTTCATATATATATATATATATATATATATATATATAATTTAAAATGTTATTTATTCCTATAAAATCAAAGCTGAGTCTTCAACAAGCAACTGTTCTTATTATCAATGTTGAAAACCATTGTATTTTTGTGGAAATCCTGATCTGATACATTTTTGTTTGATAAATGGAAAGGTCAAAAGAACAGCATTTATTTAAATTAAAATACATTTTTTTGTAACAATTTAAAAGTCTTTTTGAAAACTTTTGATCCTAAACATTTGAACAGTTAGCATTTAGTCAAAATTGACAGTATTTGTGTTGACACGAGGGTGTTGAAATACATGATTACCTGCATACACAGACGACAGGAGTCACCGCAGAACAGACTCCCACAAAGGATTGACATCTAATTATCATTTCGCGTTCATCTAAAATGATTGGGTTGGTAACTACACTCCATACTGCCATTTGATTAATCACCCTCTGGTTACCGGCATATTCTTATGCAGGGTCACTAACTTCATTACTGAAATGCTGGGTCAACAGCAAAGCATTATCTGAGAAGTAAGAGATTGCTGAACATATCAGATTTCTTTCCGAGAGACCTAAGTTTATGAGCTCAGCTGGATCTTTTCCTGTCCGACTATAATACAGGATGTTTTGGCCACTGCATTTCCGATGGAAGCTCCATCTTTCCAAGCTAACGGGCCGCACAGTCTGCTGAGCATCTCCACGCCAATCTGTTGCTGGTAGAAGTTGCCAGATCTAGTGATCAGAGGCCAGTTTCAGCATTTGTTTCATGATTGTAGAGCTTTAGATTAGTGGAAGTTAAAGAAATAGCTCAAAAATTAAAAAAAATAAAATGAATGAAACAACATGAAGGGCTTTATGATCCTCAACGACTGATCCATTCAAGCTGTTCTAATGCACATACATTCTAGTCCACTTAGATCAATGAGCTATGTGCTGCATATCTTAAAAGGGTAAAGACAATCAACGATGGAGACACCATTAAGCAGCTATTTTAGCTTCAACAGACTATTAATAGAGAGTTAATTTAAAAGTCACAACAATGGCTGTGTTTGTACTGTCACACTATTTAAACAAATGCAATTGCATGGGAATCTACTGTATGAGAACCTTTAAACCACACTATATTTATCTGTTTCTTTCTGATGTTTGAGGAACTACCACAGGGATAGGGATTTTTTTTTTTTATCTGCTTTCTTAAATAAACAAACAGTCATAAGGGTATATTACGCAACATGATAGTAATACATTTACCCAGTAACATGTACACAGATTGAACAGATTGAATTCTTACCTCCATAAAGAGCTTTCCGTGACACTTCCCAGATTGAAGTCGTACAGTTTGGTCAGCATTAGGATCACCTGTACACAAACACAAGAAGTTGTAAAAAGTTAAATGTATATCTAGTGCAGCGCAAACTGACCAAGACCGCATGGCGTAAGCTAATTGGCCTCTGCTGATGACAGCCAATGAGAGTGCTTGCTCAACATTTATATAGTCTGGTTCATTGTTTGCTGTAAGCTAGTCCTGCAGTTCACTATCAGAGTTCCTCTGAACCCCTCCACCTCCCCCAGCTCCACCTGCCGTCTTTAGCCTCCTTGCTAGAGCGCCCGACTCTCACGCCGGAGACCCGGGTTCGAAGGCCCGCTCGGAGCGGGGCGAGTAGGATCCGGGTGGAGGGGTTACATATGCAGCAAAGCATTTGTGAAGCCACAACACACACAACCTTGAGGCGGATGGGATACAACAGCAGAAGACCCCACCGGGTACAACTCATCTCCATTACAGCAAGAGCTCACCAAAATTGGACAGTTGAAGACTGGAAAAAAAATGCGATTTCTGTTTGACATTCATTTTGATTTCTATGAGACGTTCAGATGGTAGAGTCTGAATTTGGCGTAAACAGAATGAGAACATGGATCCATCGTGCCTTGTTACCACTGTGCAGGCTGGTGGTGGTGGTGTAATGGTGTGGGGGATGTTTTCCTGGCACACTTTAGCCCCCTTAGTGCCAATTGGGCATCGTTTAAATGCCAAGGCCTACCTGAGCATTGTTTCTGACCATGTACCTATCCCCTGATGGCTACTTCCAGCAGGATAATGCACCATGTCACAAAGCTCGAATCATTTCAAATTGGTTTCTTGAACATGACAATGAGTTCACTGAACTAAAATGGCCCTCACAGTCACCAGATCTCAACCCAATAGAGCATCTTTGGGATGTGGTGGAACGGGAGCTTCGTGCCTTGGATGTGCATCCCACAAATCTCCATCAACTGCAAGATGCTATCCTGTCAAAATGGGCCAACATTTTTAAAGAATGCTTTCAGCACCTTGTTGAGTCAATGCCACGTAGAATTAAGGCAGTTCTGAAGGCGAAAGGCAGTCAAACACACACACACATTGCCAGTTAACTCAAAAAAAAAATAATAATAATGTTGGATTCTATTTTGTATGCATAAGAGCATGGACGAGGCGGATAGAGAGAACCCAGATGCAAGCACCGGTTTATTTGAGAAACACATACACAGATAATCCAATCCAAGAGCAAGAGAATAATCCACACAGAAGGCAGGAGATCGACAACAAGAACACACAAACAGGAGCAATGACCAACAAACAACAACTGAAGCACAGAGGTTTAAATAGACAGGTTAACAAGGGGCTGATGAGGGACAGGTGTTGGAGATTTGTTGTCATGGGAACTAATTAGGGTAACTATGGCGACAAGGAAAAACAGGAACCAAACACAGGAAGGATACACTGGAAACTGAGAATACACTTAAATGTTACAAATGGTAAAAAATACAACATAAAAGTCATTGTAGAGCACAAGACACAGCACAGGGTTTGTGACAAAATCAACTCTTAGCAGAAAAGTCCTCATCAAATCTGAATCAGAATCATTATTGAATCACCCATTATATAAAGTGCTCAATAAATCAACCTCAAAACTCACAAATCCTCACATCTTGCAGCTCTTCGTCTCAGCATAAAACACCATTAAATGATGCATCAGGCTTCCTCCTTGACACCCTAATAATTCATCTCCTCATTACTTAATCATATCATGCTGAATCTAAATACAGCGCCGTAAATATCCTTTATACGATTCTTAAGGTGCACGAGACTGTGCTAACTAGGTCAGTCAAATTCCTCCAGGAAAATTAGAGATGGGAAAGAGAGCGAGGAAATTCATGCCTGGAGCGAAAAAAAGTAGACTCATAAACGTACAATCTATTTATGCTCCAAGAGTGATTTCATACCTGTATAAACCTCAAAGCCTTTTGAAGGAACACGGATCATTATGGAGGAAGAGTTCATCGATTTTCGCAGAACACGGTTACAATAACAAGCGTGGGAAGAAAATACATGTTAATTCATTGAAAAGCCCTTCAATCATACTGTAGGGTTGAGCACATTCTGATTCAAGATATCATGTTCAAATTGAAGCATCTGTGCTAGAAATGATGTCATAGCATGTCATTAATTTACAAGGACAGTCAACCAAAATCCAAATCACCAAATCAGGAGGAAAACAACGAAATCAGCCATAACGGCATCCAACGTGTGACAAAAAGAGAAAAGGGTCAAGAACCATTCAAACAGAAGGGTACTCTGGGAAAGAAATGGGACAAAGACATTCTTCTAAAGCTCAAAGAATACTGCAAATCTCCGTGTAAAACAGGCTTTACACCACCAGACAACACCTTTAATGCTATCGGCAATTCGTTCAGCAATATTGAGAACAGCCTGAACTGCTGAGATCTCTTGTTCTCTGTTTGAAAAGCTGCCCTGACATTTACATACAGTTCAGTAACTGGGAGCAAAGCACTAGTGCACTGCTCAACCACGGGAACGCCTCAAGACAGACAGAATAGACTTCTGGAGTTTCTCAAAGAGCATACAGAGGCTGCAAAAAGTATGTTGACACTTAAGGGGATGGTTCACCCAAAAATGTTGATTTTGTCATCATTTAGTCAGCCTCAAGTTTTTGCAAACATGTACAGTATGAGTTTCTTTCTTCTGTTGAACTCAAAAGATGATATTTTACAGAATGTTGGTAATCAAACAGTTGACGGGAGCCATTGACTTTCACAGTAGGAAGAAGATACCGCGTAAGCCAATGGCTTCCGTCAAGTTCTTTAAAATATCCTCTTTTGTGTTTAACAGAAGAAAGAAACTCATACAGGTTTGGAACAATGTATCATATATACATTTTCCAACTCCACTTGAGGGACACATAACTTCATACATCCACAAAAAAAAAAAAAAAAATACTGTATGAGTGGTGCAAAAAAAAAAAATGTTCCTTCAGTGAATTATTCTGACGATAGCATCATGTCGTGTGCTTTTCTCAACAACAGTGCGCATGTTGTTAAAAGGAACAATGGATAGTGCAAAATACAGGCAAACACTGCAAGAGGATCTGCTTCAGTCAGCTGGATCATCTTACTGGTACAATGATCTCAAAACATTGATCTCAAACAATAAGGACATTTAAAAAAGAGAGTTTAAGAAGAAAAATAAGCATATCCAGTGACACAGTGGAAGATTAATCCAATAGAAATCAGTGGCACTTTTTATAAAAAAAAATTAAAAAAAAGATTGGCTAAAAAGTATGGGCAACTCCCTTGGCTCTAATTAGTGTTTGTCACAGAAACAGGTGTGATTTTTTTTTAAGTTATCTGCAATCAAAAAAAAAAAAATATATATATATATATATATATATATATATATATTTTAATATATACATCTTTAAATATTTAAATATATATATACAACTTTTACCTCAAATATTGTAGTATATAGTGCCTTTTAAAGCAGACTTTTTATATTTTATATGTTCTAATGTATAACAAATGTATAACTTGTAATTCAGTAAAATGAGCAAGGAAATTCTGCTTGTTAATTTTACACTCCTAATATAATACAACACAGCCAGCTGAAAAAATGACTTTAATACTGCTGATGCATGTTTCTGTGAGTAATGAGTATAAGCTGTTTACATGTTGAGTTTATTCTGATTAAGCTTCCCTCATTTACAAAGGCTCTGACTTGATTCTCTGTGAATTCTGATTAGACTTATTAGACACTTCACTGCAGTGCTGTTCTGAGCACCTTATTAAGTCTTTTCTTAAGTTCTAGTTATGTTCGCTGAATTACATGCATAAACATATTTACAGACGAAACAACACAGGAACATAATGAGTTGAAATAACACTGAAGTATGGCTTTGAAAGGTTGAATCACAATCATGCATTTATCTTTTTTTGCGCTCTAAACAATGCTGGGTTGTTTTAACCCAAATTTGGGTCAAATATGGACAAACTCAAATGTTGGGTTGAAAATGTAATTTAAAAACTTAATTACATTTTTAAGCCAACATTTGGGTTTGTCCATATTTGACCCAAATTTGGGTTCAAACAACCCAGCATTTTTTAGAGTGTATCAATACGGTACATACATAAACAGTAAATTAAGCATTGAACGCTATTGGATTCCTGTTAGAGAAGTCAAGTTGAACTTTTAAAAGGATAGTTCATACAAAAATGCTCCGGAATGGTCAAATACATCCACTGCATTTGATATCGAGTACGTGTTTGTTTTGTACAGCAGTGAAACAAAAACCAGCTATACATAGATTTGCAGGCTGAACTCTCCAAATGGCTTGTGGGTAGTGTTTTGGATGGATGGCATTGGGCCATGCTCTTGTATTAGAGAGGAGAAGATCATTCCCACTGAAAAAAATTATATGTTGCACTCACACAGGTGTTGTCAGACTAAGTCATCTCAGTCTCGGGGACCAAAAGCAATTCGGCAACAATTTCACATGTGGGAGTGGGCGGTGAAACCTAAATGGCCATCCACATAATTTTCACTGTCTTAACAAATAGTGACGTGCGGCCATAGCATTGCAAGTACTAAATTGTCCAAGTCAAATTTGTTCTAGTTTATTTTCCTTTTCCACAAAACTCGAAGTACTGTCCCTATACACCCAATTTATAACAGTCACAGCCCTTGGCTACGTCTGGGTAATGTTTGGAGGGAAGAAAGCCTATACTGTTGAAACAATCTACAGGCCTATTCAGACGGGATTGGTTTTACATCCTCTGTGATTTTAATCTTGTCCGAACTGGCCATGTCAGTGATTATTCTTAGACTTTTTTTTTTTTTACAGAGAAGAATTAGACTGTCTTTTACCTACAATAAAAAATACCCACAAGTGAAAGTAGTCCTGTGTGAATTGACTTGCTAGTAAAAAATCCTTTGAATTGACTCTCAGCAGTCCATGTCCAGTCTGCAGGCTGTAGATCAAGCACTCCAAGTGTCTCAGTAGACTTGAACAATAAAAAACACA